AAACAGGAAAAGGTATATTTAAAAAAAGTCAGCTTTAAAACAACAACGCTGCGTTAAGTGTTTAATGTGTTAAGTGTGTATTTCATATCATCCTATTGCAAGATCCTCATCTTTGATTTTGTCTACGTTCTCACCTGTACGTTTGGTGGAGCTCCATCATTTTATCCTCCAGCTCCTTGGTCTGACCCTGGGCCATCTTCAAGTCCTTGGCATAATGAGTGCCATGTACCTCTGGGTCGTACTCGCCCAACTCTGACTGCAAAGCAAAGGAACCCAACAGGGCCAGAGTAACAAAGGAGCAGGGCAGAAATCCCTGCAGGATGTCCTTCCTTAGCTGGAGACACAGGTAGTACCTTTGACGGACAAAGACAGGTCCAGACAGGTTTAAATTTAATGTTTATAGCAGCTATGGTAAAAACAATGTATCTGTGACCAAACTTGCTAAGGTATTTTAATCCAGATACCTCGTAATGTCCTCAGACAGCTGGGCTGGATCCGGAGGATAAAACTTCACATTGAAGGTGAAGTTATAGTTGGCACCTTCAAGAAAAAAAAAAAACACACATTATTTCTAGCAAAATCCTTTACATGGATCAAAATAATAAGAGAAGCTGTTGAGGGCTCACCTTGCACCTGCCTGAAGATTTCTTTGGTCTGGTCCAACCATGTCTGTTTGGAAATGAGAGATGAAAGGGGACACGAAGTAAACCTAACGTTCAGTTAAACTAGAGCTAATGATTTTGGAAAAAAAAAAAAAAAAAAAAAATTGTTAATGGTCGAGGAGTTTTTTTTGGGGAAAAAAAAAATATATATATAATTGTTAATGGTCAAGGAGTTTAAAGACAGGGGTGTCAAACATGTGGCCCGCGGGCCAAAACCGGCCCACTTTAGGTTTCAATCTGGCCCCCTTGATGGATTTTGAAAATAAAATAACACACACACAAACACAACCTTCATGTTGAGAAAATGCTTTGTAAAATTATGTTTCATTTTTATGAAGATTTATCGAATGTAATTTTTTTTGCATGACAACAAGGGGAAAAAAATAACTCACTCTTTCTTATTCATAGGTAATCATTATATGATTGTTCTGGTCCGGCCCGCTTGACATCTAATTAGGTTGCATGCGTTTTTTTTCGTTTCAGATTGATATTATATGTTCATTCATCTGTTTTCCGAAAATCCACACACAGAGAACTTGCAGTTGAGTTAAATTCATAAAAATGTATGAAAACTAGCCTTGAACAGTGAAGAGTCACAAACAAGCTCACCTTCATCGTAGGTGTCTGCCAGATGGCCAGGCCGTAGTAGTCTTTCTCCAACAGGTTGAGATGGTCACACACCTTCATGAACAGCTCCTGGCCTGTGGCATGTTTCTGATATGTACAAAGACGTCGCTAATATTAGCATAGTAACAACACTGTGTGTTGTATACTTCTGACGTTCTAGGTGTGTACAATGATTCAGTAACAGATGTGGTCAGTGGGAAAAAAACATTTAAAATTAAATTCCATGCCTCACAATCAGAAGGTCCCGGGTTCGAGCGTGTAACCAGAAAACGAATAAATAGTTGTTTAACACTAAGGGAAAGTATTTTGTTGTCCAGCAAATCCATTCCTGTTCATTACAAAGTGGTTAAAGCATATGGTCAAAATTACTTTGATGAAGTGAATACAGTTTTTAGTGTAATCACGACTAATCACGATCATATCCATTACGATTAATCATGATTAATCGACATTCCTTATGATGAAAAAAAACATTTTTTTTACTGAAATGCAATTAGAAAAATGTTCAGAAAAGATTTGCAAAAAGAAAACTTCCGTGAAGTCCTTGTCGTACAATTTCGGTCAATCCATTCGACATTTGGCTCAGTCAGCTTGTCAGCTGAAGGCTTGCTTAATGTCCTGCGCTCAGGGAGGCTGGTCTGACTCCCAAGTGTGACCTCGTGCTGAAGCCTCTAAACGCACATGCTGGGGTGCTGAGATGGTATTTTAAGTTCCAGCAGGGGTGTTCAAATAACAAGGCGTGTATTAGAGCAACAATAAGCGAATGTGTTCTGCCCATGTGTACAAATTACTTTTAAAGTTTAATTCAAGTCATCAAATAATCAAGTAAAAAAAAAATCCAATAATGTAAATAACACATTCATTTTGACAATTTTGCCGTAGAATATATGTATCGTATTTTCCAGAATATAGGTTGCATTTTTTTTAATCTTTTGGCTGGTTTTGCAACTTGTACTCAGGCGAGACTTATATATTAAAACATATATTTTCATGTTTGTTATTTTCACACTGAGAGCCGCTAGAGGGCCCTCCAGGCTTGTGTACCAGTATCTGCTACTCCTGTTGAACTGGAAATGTACATGTTTGCTATTTTCACAAAGGCAGCCACTAGAGGGCACTGGTGCAACTTGAACTCCAGAGCCACTTTCATATATTTTTTTCTTCTTCATTATGCATTTTTTGCCTGGTGCGACTTGTACTCTGGAGCGACTAATAGTGCGTGTGTTAGAGCAACAATAAGCGAATGTGTTCTGCCCATGTGTACAAATTACTTTTAAAGTTTAATTCAAGTCATCAAATAATCAAGTAAAAAAAAAATCCAATAATGTAAATAACACATTCATTTTGACAATTTTGCCGTAGAATATATGTATCGTATTTTCCAGAATATAGGTTGCATTTTTTTTAATCTTTTGGCTGGTTTTGCAACTTGTACTCAGGCGAGACTTATATATTAAAACATATATTTTCATGTTTGTTATTTTCACACTGAGAGCCGCTAGAGGGCACTCTAGGCTTGTGTACCAGTATCTGCTACTCCTGTTGAACTGGAAATGTACATGTTTGCTATTTTCACAAAGGCAGCCACTAGAGGGCACTGGTGCAACTTGAACTCCAGAGCCACTTTCATATATTTTTTTCTTCTTCATCATGCATTTTTTGGCTGGTGCGACTCATACTCTGGAGCGACTAATAGTGCGGAAAATTACGATACTGTATACACTGTGCCAAGCATCAGACTGGTAGCTCCTTTGTAGGGAATGTATGGCTTGACGCTTCTATTCTATGATATGGAGACTTGTACAGTATGATCTCTGCCTCACAGCATAGGCCTAGATATTTCTGTATCTAGGCTAGAGTCTGCTAAGGAGGCCAGTGTTCTTCTTAAAATATTGACCTGACCTGTCACATTAATCATTTCGTGACTTCATTACGGAGGGGCACTGTAGTTCGACGAAAGTCACGCCACAGCTGTCGCCACTGTATATGCTTACTATACAATAGGACCATATCCTGGATCTGATCAGCCAGGAGAGAGGGTCTGTGGAGTTGTCCCCACCATTGTGACGGCTTTGAGGGGTTTGGGAATTTATACGCTTAAATTCAAGGAATAATCCAGGAAGGCTGCAAAAGGATTAGTGTTATGCAGTATGAAAAGGGAGTGTAGTCTGTGCACCAAAAAAAGTTATGAAACTCTATTATTTTGGTGCATTTGTTTTCGGAACTTACATTGAGCTCACACTCGTACAGAGTGTCGTCCAGCAGGGTCACTTTGATCTGCATGGTCCTGGGTCTCCGCGGAGCCTTGGGAGCCTTGGTCTCCTCCTCCGTGGCCTTTTCCTCTTTTTCCTCTTTATCGTCTGCTTCTTTGACAGACTCCTTCTCCTCCTTGGCCTTCTCCTTCTCCTTCTCCTCCTCCTCCTCCTCCTCCCCCTCTTTCTCCTTTTCCTTCTCCAGCTCTTTCTCTACGGCAGCCTCCTCTTCTTGCTCCTTGTCCTTCTCTTTGTCGTTCACGCCTTCCTCCTCCTCCTCCTCCTCGGCTTCTTTTCTCTCTACCTGTACGGCCTGACAAGGGACACTGTCAGTCAATATGCGGTGTCTGTGTGTGTGTGTATGTTTTTCAAACATCGGTTGAAAACACAGAGAAATCTCGCATAAGCTTTAATGGGGGATCTTGCAAAAGCTTAATGCAGCATCCACCGTCTGCCGTGAACCACAGTTGACGCACATACAGATCATTCACGCAGATCATTCAGAGGCCGGAATGATCCGGGATCAGGTCCATGCTAGAACAGCTCACTTCTGTTCATAGTCAGATCCCAGGTAGCGGCTTTCTTCAGGTCCCATTATAGGTGGCGAGGCTATGATGGGGGTGTTACCATATAAAACCCACAGATCATTCAAGTTGTGTTTTTTTTTTTTTTTCATTAGCGCTCATTCAAACGCAGGATGCGCATCACAGATTTTTTTGGTTTTTGTTACTTCGTTCAAAGTACAGCCAAGTTGTTTTTGGAAGTGACAGTGCTTTGTGTGCTTTTGTTCTGAGAAACAGCAGGAGACCTGCAAAAATAAATAAACGCCTGCTCAGGCATTTGCTATTTTGAGAGGAAGTCTGCAGTGTTTTTTCAAACTCAGGACAGTCATAAATGATTGACTCCCTTTGATTTAAACCCATGGAGAATCAGTACGTCACTTGTGTATCGCTGCAGCTGCATTTATATATTTGTATTGTGCCATGACATCAAATCAATAATTATTCGGCTGTAACTTTGAGGCTAGTAATGCTTTGTTGGTTAGCAGCTTTTAAGGCGAACGCAACTGTGTTTTTATTAGGGATGTCCGATGTTAGCATTTTGCCAATATCCGATATGCTGATATTGTCCAAACACTTATTTTCCGATTCTAGTATCAACCGATTACCATCATATGCAGCCAAGATACGATAATTCACTTTCACTTGAAAACTATTTTTAGGTCACATCATCTGGGCGAAACCCAGGCAATGCGTTATCTGGTTTTCACTATCGCAGGAAAAATTGTTAACAATTCTTACCGATATATAGGGATGTCCGATATTAACTTTTTGCCGATATCCAATTACCGATATTGTCCAAACACTTAATTTCCGAATCCGATATCAACCGATACCGACGTTTGAAACCTCAGGACCCCTTTGCGATTCCAGCTAATTTGGCAAAACACAGGCATTGTGTTATCGGATTCTCGTTATCGGAGGACAAGCCGACAACGATCTTACCGATATTACACAATTAAGCTAATATCGGCCGATAATATCAGTTGGCCGGTATTATTGGACATCCCTAATTTTGGAAATTTTGTGCTTATAATGCGCATTGTTTGCATATCTCATGCAGCCTTTTATCAAAGTAGGCCCTCAGGGCAGCCGGCAACGTGTGACACTGTGTGTGACTCATGCAAACACTTACGCACAGACTTGCTTAACGTACCTTTCTCCCGGTAATATGGCAACAAAAACTTCCATGCATGTGTGTTTAGCCACAAACAGAAAAAAATGGACACACTCGTCCTGCAGGTTCTTGGCCTGAAGTGCACCGCTCTGCAGGCATTTCTGTCTCTTACTGCCAAAACTGTTAGCCCTAGTTGGTTTGACAAATAATACGCTGTGTTTCTCTCTCTCTCTCTCTCTCTCTCCCCCTCTTACTTTTGACACAATGATGAGTCGACCTCTCACAAAGAAGTGCTGAACTGTGAACAGAAGTTTCAGCTTAGCACACTCTCCTCCAGGTCTGATACATATCAAAAATATTGTAGTACAATCGAAAGTATTTAACTTTAAATATAGTGAGAGTAATTTGAATAAAGAATCAAATCCGTTTTTGCCCACAGATACAGAGCGAACAGGCTGACCTGAGTCTCAGTACTGCTTACTGAGTGCTGATCCAAGGCAACGTCTCCCTCTGCCCTCAGTTCAGGTTCGGGGTCTGCAATGGGAGCCTTAGCCTCCTCCTCCCCTCCCTGCTTGTCGTCCTTCTCTCCCCCCTCGCTCTCACACTGGGAACGCCTCTTCAGAAGGGACGAGAAAAGGCGGGAGAGCCCACGGCTGGCGGAGTTGCGATTGTGGGGCCGCAGATGCTCTTCCTCTGGTGAGGGCAACCTGGCGTCCTTGCCAGTTTCCTGCTGCCCCGGTTTCTTCTGGCAACTGTCCGCCTCGTCTGTCGTCATGACAACAGCTAAGGAGGAAGAAAACGGGATCGAGTTATGCCCAAGTACTGTACAACACGATAATTCAGTTTCACGTACAGGACTCGACGGAGGTCTTCAATCTTCTATCTTCCCTGACCACGTTCACTTAGCATTCAATTATATTAAAATGATACATTTTTGGGTCAAGGTACTTAGCAACGACGGTACTTACGACGACCACGACGGAATGGGACAGAATTGTTTTTCATGCCCCGCCCGAATTAAAATACTATTGTGAACCTGAAAATATGTATATTCGTATTTGTACAAACCACTGTATGAGTTGCTGCCACCTAGTGACTGGAGGCATGTTTATCGTTCAAGCGTTGCAGCAGCAACACACTTCTGTCCAGCCCAACTACCCCGTCCTCCGACACCTCAGGGGGGTCGAGGAGGGGCCCGCCCCACTGTTTGAGAAGTACTGCTGTATTGTAAGCATATTTACATCTTTGAGTGGCCCTAAGATCAATACAACGTCAGCTCTCCCTGGTGTTTCCATAGACACAGGGTTCAATACCACTGTTTCACACAGACTTGGTGCGAAGTGAATCATTAAAACTAATTTGACACGCCGTGATTCTCAAAGCTCTGGTCAGAAGCGCGCCACATTGTCTGTTTGCCCTGGTCAACTGTTGCTTCTGGTTAACGTGCCTAACTGTGAGGTGACTGAGGTAAAAAAAAAAGAAGAAAAAAAAGAAAAAGAAATCTGCCTGAGGCCTAAAATGTGTAGCACGCAAGTCACTACATCGCAGCAGGAAAGGTAGGCGGCTACGCAAGATACATCAGCTGGAACCTGAACTCACCACAACAGCTAGGCATGTTGTTGCCGTGGCAACGGCAACTATGTCAGAGCGAGAGATTAATGGAAAAGCAAGGGAGCAGGGTATGAACAATAAGCCGCTTTTCGCTTGGGCTGCTGAAATATCACTGGAGCAGGGCAACGGTTGAAGCCGTTTTTGCTAGCGTTAAGGTTTTTGCAAGTTTTTACATGACATGCATTACATTTTTTCTTCCACTGCACTCGACTTGATACAATTCAGAGACTGAAAATGTTTATATATAAAACAGCACTACTCTCCTCCATCTTTTGAAGAGTTAGCTATAATATCAACAAATGCATTCTCTCTCGAAGTAAAAGAATAGGATCTAAACAGGGTTTAACATAAAACCTCTATGTCAAACGTCCACCGATTGTTACGATCTCCAAGCATGCCACTGGACGCTTCTGATTCTTATACAGTAGATTAGACCTGTAGGATTTAGCCAGTCAAAGAGAGGGGATTATGTGACGCAATGTTTTATGACGACAACATTAATAGAGTAAATGCGAGAGCGGGGATGATAAGAATTCTGCCGTAACTGAAGACAACCTCAGATATAGACAATCGAACACGAAATGTCGTGAATGTTTTAATCGTAACTGGAGGCTAATTTAATGTTTCTAAAACTGTTGTTACGTTAATATTTTTTTATTACACAGCAATTAACAATATTTGTAAATTGCATAAAATAATAATCAATTGCAGAAACATGTATTACTATGTTATGGAGTAGTTACATCTATACAGTCTCACAGTAACAACTGGTGCTTTAAGGAGAACTGCATGGCTGATGTGGCCCCCTGGTGGCAATGCGTGTGACAACCCCTGCTTATAACAAATAAATACTCAAACATAAATACAAACATTTTCATCCTGATAAATTAAGAAAAAAAAATCATCATCATTCTTAAATGACAAAAAATAAATATGTATATTAGTCACATATGTATATGTGACTGTAAAACTGCTAGCCCTGCGGATTACTGCACAGACGCAGTCTGAAATACATGGAACGCAAAATCTCTCTATTTCATTCGTCAGAGCTCAAATCTTTGGAGGAAAAAAAAAAAGAGACAGTGTTATATAAAAATTCCCCCCCAAAAAAAATCATGATCTCAATTAACACAGTTTAAATAAAGATTTAGACCATTTCTGGTCTAACAACCACAGAGAGCACCGTGAGTCATATTCACTCCTCCTTCCAGTGCTTGGATATAAATAGATTTCTTTTTTAATACAAAAAAAAAACGAAGAGAAATCAGGACAATGTTTGGGCTGCGAGAGCTAACTCTTCGACATGAAGCGCGGGGACTGAAGCACAGATGTTGTAATTAACAAAGTGTCTGTGTGTTTACAAGAAAAACAAGAGGCCATCTGTCATCACTAGCGAACACGAGCTGTCCAATTTTCCCTCTCGATCCATTAAAATACATGTCATCCACATGTTTTGTTTTTTTTTATTTCCAGCAAAGGTATGTATAATATCGTAAGCTTGAAATGTTAAATACTGCACCTTATTTAAGAAGATCAGCTCCGTTTTACCAAGGCTAGCTACAGTACATTTAAATATAGAATGTGATCGATGAGACCAATGCGACTGGATGTTAGAATAAATATTTAATGGCCGTGGAGATGTAGAGGGCTGAGTTTGGGTTTTTTTGAGGAGCTGTCAAAAGTACTTCGTAATGATGGTGAGTGTCCCAAAATGCTCTGTTACAATGCACTAATGCAGGGGTGTCCACAGTTCTTCAGCGTAGGAGCTACTACCAATCGATCCACCTACCTTGTGTCGAGATTACATTTTCCCTATTAAAAATAACAAAAAATTAAATGAAACCCCCCCCCCAACTAAACATCAGAAATGTAGATATAAACAACTATATTGATCATATAAAATAATAATAATTAAGAAAACATTCGCTCTCAGAGCTTCTCTATATATATATGTATCTATGTATGTATATATATATATATATATATATATATATATATTTACAGTAAATGGTCACTATAACTCTCTATAGAATTTCATTTATATTTTATTTTTTTCTTGTTTCACTTACTCATGATCTCCCAGTAATACCCTCTAGCTCTAGTGCAAATATTGATCTTTTTTTCGACACCAGTCGACACCAACAACTTCCTGCTTCCGATACCGATAATATATGAAAAACTAGTAAGCCAAAGTGTACTGAAGATATATCATTCAACACCATAAACAAAACCAAAAACAACTGTGACTCTTCAAATGAACGAAATATCGGCAAGACTTTGAAACAAAAACATAAAAAATAAAATAAATAAATAACAAGTGATATAGTGCATTATACAAGTTCAAAGTGCATTCCAATAAATAACAAGTGATATAGTGCATTACACAAGTTCAAAGTGCATTCTTCACAAATACAAAAAACAATATATATGAAATTAATATGTAATAATACCCCACTGACACACTGGAAAATAGGACTGTAATCTTAAAGTCAACTTCTATGTTGATGATTCTGCTTAGAAGACCATTATTTGGCCTTTTTTTTTTTTGTTTTTGTTTTTTTTTTTGTAGGTTCTTTTGTTGTCCATAATATTATGTAATGAAATTTAATGTTAAACTGATACCTAATTTAACAAAGTGAAGAAATCGCTAACAATCACTAAACTGTGCTAACTTCACAAAATGCTTATCTGATATTAGTACAGTTTGTGTCAGTGAAAAGTCACCTCTCCATGAAACCCAATCTGAGGGCTTGGTTCCAGTCAATTCTAATAGAAGAAGTCGTGGAAACAGTGGCAGAGCCCATGGGAGTCCTGCTGACCATCAAAGTTGCCAAAAGACCAGAGGTGGCCACCTCAAAACCAACTGGAAGAGGCCCCTCAGAGTGCTTACTTTTTCATCAAGTGACACATGGACATGCATAATTCATACAAACACCTCTGAAGATCAACTTCTGCTCACATTCTGGTTGCCAAGATTGTGGTCACACTTTTTAGGTGGTTTGAACTGCACCCGTAAAAAAAAAAAAAAAATCACTGATATCGAAACTGACACGGAGTTCCTTACAGACTTCCTATCATTCTCAAGTTTTTTTGATTACACCCTTTCTAATGACACCTTCTATACTACAGAAAAAAAGCTGCAATTGCCGGTGTCACAGCAACACTGCTTGCACCCTTTCCTTCTTAAGTGCTTGAGTTTAAGAACAATCTCGTGGTTTGATTTGTCAGCAGGAAAATGCTAGAATGCTTGTAGCTCTTTGCAGGGGGTCCCAAACTCAAAAGAGCTGCAGGCTCATGTTGCCCCGGACGTCTAATCGAAGAGCCAAAAACTAAAAGCAGGGGGTAAGATTATATTATACTGACATCTGGTGGCGAGCCGAAAGTGCCCCGCAGGCCAGGAGTTTGAGATCCCTGGGGTAGAGGCACAATTCTTTCTACACTGACGAATTCTCCTTACTTTGATTGAAGTAACACTTACGTAAATGTATTGTTTATGTTAGATATACCTTAGCTGCCTGTCTTAATGTTTGCCACCACATGGTGGTTAAAAGAATAAAAACTGGCTATCATATTTGCTAGAAAAACAATGTGATAAGCAATAAAAAAAAAAAGATCTAAAAAAGACTGAGGCACATTTGTACTTTCATGTCTGCGTGGACACATGTTGTCAAAGTGCTGAGAGTGAGTTGAAAATGAAATCGGCTTTAATTTTAATCGTACTCAGTGTGGGATTAAAAGCTTCTGTACAGGCCTGGGGAAGCTGGATGTCAATCACACACATGCACACACAGCTGCTACGCTAACATGCAGTTTTTGTTAGTTGCTCCAAAATCAGTGGAAGAAAATATTTTTGAAAAACTCATTTCAAACTGCATGAGACCAACTGCATGACAAAAGGACTCAATTTTTTAAAATTTACAATAAACAAATGTACAAAGTTGATTTTTGTTGTTGTTGTCGTTTCTGTAAGGGGGTAGTTAAAGGTCACGCTACTTACTGCACCCAAGGGATCAAAATGTAAAAGCCAAGATAAGCAACAGTGATGGAAGAATCAATGTTAGGACTCTGCACCGTTTAACTTGGTCTTTATAAAAACAAGCATTTGGAATCGGTTTCACGGCACCAAAGCACCAAAACTTAAATGAAATGTAGGAATTAAATAAATACTATTT